CATGATCTTAATTATTTAACTTTGGCATTTAGTAGACAATGCTTAATTTCGTGTTTTCAAAAAACCAAGACGAGATCAAGACGAGAGAAAATAAAGACAAGAATTAAATTTTTCCGTATATTATTTTTAAAATATATGTTGCTTTTATTAGACGAAGAAACTAAAAAAGAGTGATGTTCAAAATGTTGACACGCACAATAAAAAAATACTCTAATTACTAATTTAACATGCTGTTCCAAAGTTTATAATAAGATTCCCTGTTATATTACTAATTTGCTTACGCGTAAATTCAAAGCGTGTAAAAAGTATTTTCATGAAGAAATAATTCTAACTGCTTACTGAATTCTTTGGATGTTTTATATTAGGTCTTTACCTTAGAAATTCCCTTTTTTATTGAATAAATTAACGTATTTTTTACTTTATTTTTATTTCTATTCATCAAAGTAGTCACCCATACAATCAATGAATCCTTGCTAGCGCAGTTGCAGCTTGTTCATGCCTTCTTAAAGAAATCAGCTGGACGGGAGGCAACAAAATCTTCAAAGGCGTTTTGTACTGCTTCTCTTATATTAAGTGACCCCCCCCCCCCAAATTATCCAAATTCTGGAAAAAGTAAAAGTTCGTGGGCGCAAGGTCTGGTGAGTACGGCGGATGACTCAAAGCTTCCAAACACAGCTTAACTTGGAGACCGTCTGTTGTGCAGTACGAGGTCGCGCGTTGTCGTGCAAGTGCAGCGGGAACGACCGAATGACCTAAGCTGGTTAGAGACTCGCGAGCTTCTCGTCATTGTGTTCAGTTCTTCACAATACACATCTGCAGTAATGCTCATCCCGTTTGGTTAGAAACTGTGATGAATTAATACCAGCGCTAGACCAACCAGTGACTATCACTTTTCTAGAAAAGAAACCCCTAGGGGTAAGATTCTTACCCATGTAAGATTTCATTTAGAGCATGCTAACCAGTATCCAACTAACTTGCTGAGCGCTTGCGATTGTCAAACAGAATCTATTTTTTATAAGATAAGGGCAACAGCTGTAGCCCATAAACATCTACATCTATACTCGACTACGAATCAAAATGCAGATGCGTTGCCACCCGTGAGGACTAAGACGGAATGTCTCAAAGAGAAGACGGGTCTCCGGTTCTCTACACTCACCTTACTAAACACAGCAGCGTTAAGCTGCTATTCAATTTACGCTGGTATCCAATTTTTCGTTGCATGTAACAATGCGGTTCAAAATTTCTTCGTTTGAGTGCTTGTTAAGCAGTACAAGGCGCGCCTCGAGGCGTACTTCGCGCTGGCGATCATTGAATTCGTGGGGCACCCATTTGCTAAGCTTTTTCACCGTGGCTATTTGACGCAAATGGTCCAATATTGTTTTGGTGCTAACGTCGATTGCTACTGCTGATTCAGCCGTAGATTGAGTATGTCGACCAAAGCTTTCGGGCGGCTACGGGATTCATTTTCAGGTCAAAATTTCCAAAACGGAAACGGGCAAACCAATTACAGATGGTGCCTTCGTTTGTAATATTCGCTCCGTTAACGTCGTTGATTTCACGTACTGCTTGCGCCGCGTTGCTGACACGTCGGTCCTCATTAGTGTTGCCAGATGTCCCGATTTGCGCGGGACGTCCTGATTTTCAAGGGTCACACGTCCCGATTCACCCTTGATTGGGACGCCAAATGTCCCGATTTTCACTTGCCTTCTTAGTCTATACTTTGATGCATAATTTTGACAGCATAAAATGATTACATCTGTTAGCTACTACTACATTAAAATATTTTACTACGACATTGTCTCACCAGTCGAAAAAAAAAACAAAAGTTTTAAACAGAATTATATTAAAATGAGTGATTTGAAAAAATCAGAGACTGCAAAAAAATTGTTCAAAAATGTTTTGATTTGCCTAAAACGAAAAAAATTTAGTTTATACGATGTCTGAATGAATAGTTATTCGTTTATGAGATCAGACGCGAATAATAAATATAAAGCACAAAAGGAAAGTAAAGTTACAGTCACAATTTCTCGCATTACTCGCATACTGTGATATTTACAGTGAGCGTTAACCATCTGAGCTACCACGGCTCTCAATAAAGCACAAAAGGCTACAAAAGAACCTGTATTTTGTAGCCACTGTAGATGTCCGGATATGAAAACCAAATCCCCGATTATTTTTACCTTTCGTCCCGAAATTTTACTTGCTAGACCTGGCAACTCTAGTCCTCATATTCCACAATTACTCGAATTTTAATCTATCCATGATGACGAAAAAGATTCAAACGCGATTAAAATACAAATCTAATCAATTAACAAATTATTAATATTAAAAAATTCCCTTTTTTAAAATAAAATTAATTTGAAATTAGAATTTTTACCCAAACAAAAATTATTTTAATTTGAAATGGTCAGTAATGAAGAACGTCAATTTCATAGGTAAAGAACTGTTAATAATAATATACGTGTTATTCTTCTGTGTCGAAATGGGTAGGGTCGCTTATTCTAAGGGCGTAGATTTATCTATGCCCTTCAACTTAAAGATCCTTTCCGATACTGTAAGATATGTAGGTACCGATACCTGGGTATGTCACAGAGCATAGGTAAATATCGATTTAGCGGGTATGAAACAATCTCATCGTGATGTATTTTGCACGCTTGACAAAAGTGCTCAACAGCCTTTTTAGAGCGGAATAAAATACTCATATTAAAACAGTTGGGTCATGCCTGTCCTCATGTCCTTTATCATACTTATATGGACTCAAACTAAACTTACCGCCCTAGATAGAAAGTCTATAATACAGTGAATGCCTATGAACATAAAATACATATAATGCATCATCTGAGATTGTCAATAGCGAGGCTGTACTTGCCGTGGGGACATGGTGGTATTACAAAATGCGCAGCCGCCGTAATTACTTTATGATGAGATACGTCATTTCCTGTGATAAGTGGCTTACCCGCCTTTTGTCCTATATAACATGACCCGGCAGACAAAGAATTTTCGATCGTGAAACTGTATGTAACATACAAGCACACAGTCAATCAGATGCTAAGTGGATGCTGTGGCTTTTTTTTTGCGCCCGAAGCAAATATTGGCAACCCTCCGGAAAGCGGGGGAGGGAGGTAGGGAATGCTCATAGCATACCACGCAGCCGGCTGCGTGTTTATGTGGAGACTTTTACCCACTAAACCCCACCTTTTAGGGACTGGCTTAACGGTCTAACTAGAGATCTCTAAGCCGTATACGGACGCGACCCTCCTTGGCAGAAAGGAGGGCGCAGGATGCTGTGGTTTATAGGCCCATTATCCTCGATTAAAAATCAAAATGCAAATGCGTTGTCAGTGTCCCCTAAGGACTAAGATGGAATGCCTTGTTTCCAGTAAAAAGGTTCAACGGATCTCTATAGTCATTTTAATTTTTAATAATTTTTTAATAATAATTTTTATTTCACTTTTAAACACAAGGAACACAGCAGCAGTAAACTGCTACTTTACGATGGTATTCTGTGAGAGCGTGGTCCTACCCGAGTCGATCTGACCCATTCGTGCTACAACTATAATATAGCTGCAGCATGGCTCTACCACGTAGTAAACCAAGGTTTCTACAAGGTTCTACACAAGCCTTTCATAGCCACAGTTACCTTTCTCCACCGGCTACATTTCGGTGACCACTTTGGGGAAACCAAGAGTTTTGTCTGTTCGATACAAGATGAGGTCATAAAAATCGACATTTATCGGAGATACGTCCTAAAAGATGGCACTATATCATCACTGTTTATCACCAATAAATCACTTAGGTATATCATTTTTCGGTTGTTCGGTGTTTTGCTTTCTAACTCTGAGTATTTGCACAGACACCGTCTAGTAGCCAGGATCCTAAACCAGAAGCTCGCTCTGAAGTACAGTCATATATCTCACTTGGCAGAAGTCGGTCTCGAAAATAACTATAGTGATGTTTTCTCTACGTTTTTACGTGTATTAAAAGATGATGAAATTTATACCTATTTGAACAAAGTCATTGTAAAGTCGTCTTCAACTTTTACATTTAGTAATTAATGGTATGTCCCGAGTCATATGCTCAAATCCCGGAAGAAAATCCTTGAAAATGACTTTTGTAGAGTTGGCAAACCTAAGCGTAATGTACAATGGAAGGTATGTTTTTATATTAATACTTATTGAGAAATATTATCAATTTCAGTTGTACTGCGAGTGTTTTCTATAGGAAACGCTTGATTGCAACCACGACTAATTTGTTGCCCACAATAAAGTGGGCCAATCTCGGACACTGGTCTACTTTCTCGACAGTTTTATTTACTTATCTCGTCGGGAAGCGTTGCCAACAGACCACGGCCAACAGTTTTATGTAACTTTGTTGTCGAAACCGAACGTACTGCGAAATTGTTAATTTTATCTATCCCAGTGTGGACTATTTCTCTTTTATGGCGCCGCTGAAAGCTGGGATTTTTTTTACTAAAAATGCTTTTATGTAGTAATAACTTTTTTAATAAAATAACATCACAGTCAACAAATCAAATGAAAAACCTTAAAGCAAAAAGTTTATACTTAAATGGACCTATTAACAGACCTGATTGATGAGCAGTTGGTATCACGGGCGTAAAGAACTTATTTGTGTCCTTTTTTGTAGCCCCAGTGCTTATGATCTTCATGGCCTCCCTTCTTTCCATGATCATGATGATGATGATGATGCTCATGATGACCTCCTTCATCATGGTAACCCTTGTGGTCATGATGGTGTCCACCCTTTTCATGGTGACCCTTTTTGCCATGTTCATGTTCATGATGCCCGCCGTGCTTGTGTCCTTTGTGGAATTCACCACCCTTCTTGTGTCCATGCTCCTCGTGATGTCCACCATGATGCTCATGATGCCCTCCATCATGATGATGGTCGTGGAAGTGTTTCTCTTTTTTAAACTCGTCGTGTTTGTGAACTCCATGGTGACCCTTTGTCGAGTGACCTTTGTGGTAGTGACCTTTTTCATGATGACCATGTCCTTTATGTCCTTTCTCGCCATGGTGGTGTTCGTGATGATGCCCGTCATCATGGTGGTGATGCTTCTTGTGCCCACCATGCTCGTCATGGTGACCCTTATGACTTTCGTGGTGATGGTGGCCCTTTTTACCGTGTTCATCATGGTGGTGGCCCTTGTAACCCTTGTGGCCCTTCTCGCCGTGGTCATGGTGATGATGCTCATGATGTTCATGACCACCTCCTTTATCCCATTTTCCACCATGATGGCTAGCCGCAACCTCCAAGTCTGCATCCCTTTTATCCCGAGGGAGTTCGCGGCAGCTGACACTAGCCAGCGCCGCTAAGGCAACACAGCATAAAATAAACTTCCTCATGTTTCAACTGTGCTGAGGAGATCAAGCTGCTAACTGATACCTACCCTACCAGAATTAATGTTTTTATACTAATAGGTTTGTTTATTGGTACTGCATTGAAAATTGTGCAAATAATCAAGGTTGCGTTAAAAATACGCCGCTCAATTGTAGAAAACTTCGTTGCGCAGCGCTGGGATCCGATGGCTCAATAATAAAGTAAAAAAGTCACCCATTGCAAGTACGTACCATAAATTTGCTTACATTATTTGAAACAGGGTTTTTCATTTAACATTTTAGTGACTTTGAATGAGGTAATTTCTGCAATTATCATTTTTTTGATGTTATTAAGCCAGAATTCAAAGGTGAAAATTTAGTTTTTTTTATTATATGAGAAATAAATTTTCAAATTTGATAAAATTTATTTATTTTACATAAAAATATTGCAAATATATATTTCAATGAACCTACAGGCATCAGGACTAGAACATTAAACTGTGTTTCATGAGCCAATAAATTTAATTACCCTCGGGTTTTCAATAAGTTTAATTATGAATACACTCGTAAATCATACTTATCCCGAAAATAAATTACGAACATTTTTTTTTTCTATTCTCGTTACCGACACAGGAATGTTATAAAAATACTTACTTTCAACAAAATAAAAGTTACTAAAATTCATATCACTACTCGCAAGAGGTGATATGAATTTTAGTAACTTTTAACTTGTAACCGGTGAGCATGTGATGGCACTGGTTAAAACTAAGCGAGTACCGAGAAACTGGTGCAAATCCGTTACATACCCACTATATAAGGGAAAAGGGTCACAGCAGAACTGTAAAACTACTCTAGAATTAGCCTGCTTAGCTTTGTGGGAAAACTGTATGCTTTGTTGATCAAACGATTTATGAAAATCTCTTTATAAGTTTACTCTAGTGTTTGTGTCAGGACCACCTGGGCTTACATGGACTGATTTGGCATCCATAGATGTCAGAAAGGGTAGCTTTCCCGTGACTGATCAGTCTGATTGGGGAAGAAAGAAGAATTAGCCGTCAAATACCACTTGTAGTGCGACGATTAACCCGCCTAACGCGTAAGACGCCCCATTCGGAAATTCATGGACCAGATTGAAATATATTTAAGATGGGCCAATCTTGGTGCGAGCAAGTTGACGACACGACGCTTGTACCTACAATGTTTTGTGCCAAGTACAAAAAAAAACGTGACAAAAATGAAATTCACACTAAACAGGTCGACTGTTACGATTGCATGGAAATGTGTAAACTTTAACAGCAAATTGCTCCATTAAAGTTTGCTATTAACGATTAGAGTTAACATTTAGGTAAGTACCTAAAACTCATTTTAAAGTGGAAATGATAGAAGATAAATCTCAACGAAAATTAACACAAATTATATGATTAATAATAGCGGAAAATATTCAAAGATTCGACCACCATCACCGCACTCATTCTACGAGATCGCTTCCGAGTTTTAAAAAATCCTGTGAAGCCACTTAAAATAGGCTTCAGGCATCGTCCACAGAGTACCTACTGTGAATAATCTTTAACTGTGCAACTCTCACGACGTAACCATTTTTGTATGTCGCACGCGTTTTGTATAAACTATATTTTATGCATATCAGAGTGCCGTAGAAATTGGTCGAATATTTGAATATCGCAATAAGTATACGAATACAGTTCCAGTGAATCCAGTTTATTATTCGAATAGTTCAAATATTCGAATGCAAAACCTAATAGAAATCACGGTGTTAAGAGCCCTCTTACATTTTGGCGTTATGTCGCCTCTACACGTTGACCAACACAGTGGCGAATGTAGTGGCGAATATATTGGCCGAGAGTTGGTGACGGCGTCCACACGTTGGAAGGTCGTTCAGTTTACTTCAGTTCGAGCCAATGTGCGGACGAATTTATTTTATTTTAGACGACGGCTCCGTGGCGCAGTGGCTTGGCAATGAGTGGCTGTGCCAGGAGACGCGGGTTTGAATCCCGCACGGAACAAGTATTTGTATATCCTACAAATAATTGTTTCGGGTCTGGATGTGTGTCCTTGTGCAATTTATGTTTGTAAGTAGCCTCCGCGACACAGGAGAAAATCCAAGTCTGGGGGGTAACGTTTTTATAAAATAATTATAAAAGAATAGTGAATATTAATGAAAAAATAAAATAGATATACGATATACGATTAGCTTTATTTATTCTTTACATGCATCAGGAACTGGAATAAATACCATTAATTAGAACTTAACTTATTTTAAAGTTAAAGGAGTTACAATCTATTAGTCTAAAAAAGTAAAATTGGGTTTTGTTTTTAAAGTTTAGTGTACTTGCTTTTCTATCAGACATTTGAGGTATATAAAAAAACACCTTGTAATTTATTTGGTAATTTAATTATTTTTTGAGAAAGACAAAAACAATAGCAATAAATACAATTAACACTGACTTAATAATAGGTACTGATTATAACTTAGAACATAAATGAAAAACTCATGACAAGGAAAGTGGCTCAGGACCATGCTTGCGGCATTATTTGGAGGAGGATGTTCAGTAGTGGACTTGTGAATGTAATGATGAGTGATGATTCGAAAACTTTCACGATTAAATTATAAGAAATCGACGCTTTTTTATATAGGATAGAGTGACAAACGAGCACACAGTTCACCTGATTGTAAGTGGTTGCTGTGGCCCATAGACATCTACATCTATCCTCGATTACGAATCAAAATGCAGATGCGTTGTCACCCGCGAGGACTATGATGAAATGCCTCGTTTCCTTTAAAAAGTGTCTCTGGTTCTCTACTCCCACGAATGGAGTATATGAAACACAGCATCATTAAGCTACTATTTTACATTGATATTCTGTGAGAGCGTGGTCCTTCCCCGGTCGAACCGACCCATTCGTGCTACAACTATACTTCTAATATAACTGCATGGTTCTACCACGTATAAACGACGTGCTTTATTTTTTTTATTTTTTCATTTTAAAATCGTTCTCGTAATAATCTGATAGTAAATAAATGTTCATTATTTTTTTTTATAAATAGCTTATCGATTAAAACAAATGTTTAAAAATAATTAAATCGCGCTAATTAAAGAAGTAGGAATGTTTAAAGTTGAAATTGGCACTAAAAGGCTGGTAATTGGGTCATCCACCCTACAAAGCGTGAATATAAAATTTTAATCAGATGCGTGTAATCACTCTGGGAGCTTGTAGCAAACTAAACTCGCGGCCAACGTGTGGACGCGGCGACCAAACTCTGCCAACAATCCTTTGATCTTTTGTAAAAAACCGACACCACACGGATCTCGCGCCAACTTGCCGGCCATCGTTCCAATACATACCAATGAAGCCCAAACACCCCGTCTACACGTTGGCCAATGCTATTGGCCACTACATTCGCCACTGTGCCAACGTGTAAGCGTTCCAAAACGTATTGTTACGAGCTTGAGGTTCGTGACAATAAAAATTGCCGATAGAAACTTTACCTAATTAACACTTAATTCACTTTACACTAATTAAAGTTAAAAACACTAATGATTAATCACACTGATTCGCTTTATTCCGCTCCGAAGCTTCGCTTGTCTCGCCGAATCCAATACTTCCTCCATCGCATCTTGCAGCGCCTATTTATATAAATTAGCAGCGAAATATCCAGAATATTCAAGTAAACACGCGCAAGGTACCGAGTTTTTTCTTTCGTTCTTCTAGATGGCGCTAGTGCCGTCGACTTGAGCGCGTAACACTGCCCTCTCCTAAGACATGCTCGTCCCGAGCATTATCGGCCCCATAATAACGCGCCAGGCGATCCACATGGACGATCTTAGGAGTCCCTCTTGCGCTTTTCTGTATCCGGTAGGTTACATCGTTGATCTTGGTCACAATCCGGTACGGGCCGTCCCATTTAGTTTGAAGCTTAGGAGATTTCCCTTTGCTGCGGACTGGATTGTGCAACCACACAAGTGAACCTTCGTCGAACCCTTTGTTGTTCATTTTGCGGTCGTACCGGGTTTTCATCTTTACAGACATTTGCTGGCCCGATTGTCTGACGTGCTCATAATCATTTGCATAATCGGTTATACTGCGTGGAGCATCAGGTGGTATCCCGGTGATCAGGTCTGCAGGCAGCCGTAATTCTCTTCCAAAGTTTGCGAAAGCTGGTGTCACTGCTGTACTTTCGTGAACAGCGCTTCGATACGACAACAAAAACGGTTGTATGTGCTTGTCCCAATCTCGTTGCCGATTGTCTACAACTTTTGCTAGGTACCTCTCCAATGTCTATTAAATCGTTCTACCATTCCATCAGATTGCGGGTGATAAGAAGTCGTTCTTGTTTTATAAGTACCCATAACTCGGCAAGTTTCCTGGAATATTTGAGACCCAAAATACCTTCCTTGATCGCTGTGAATCTCTAAAGGTACTCCAAAACGACAGAAGACTTCACGAACTAGTTTATCTGCAACTGTTGAAGCTTCTTGATTTGGAATGGCGAAGACTTCTGGCCTCTTAGTGAAGTAATCCATCACAACCATGAAATACTTGTTACCGCTTTCACTCTCCGGAAACGGCCCCGCCACGTCAATGGCTATTCTCTCCCATGGTGCACCAACATTGTACAACTTCAATGCACCTCTACTTCGAGTCTGAGGTCCCTTTACAGCCGCACAACTTGTACATTTGCGACACCAGTCCTCGACGTCGTTTCGACAGTGGACCCAGTAAAACCGTTCTCGGATCTTCAGTAGAGTTCGTTTAACTCCCAGATGGCCTCCTGAATAATCATTATGGTACAGCTGTAGAACACAGCTGTCTCCCCGAACATTGTCCCATTTACGGCACAGGACTCCATCCTGAAGCAGCAAGCTGTCCCATTGGGCCCAAAAGCTTTTCGTGGTTGAACTCATCGCTGAGACGTCCCTCCAGTTAGGCTTGGTAGCACGGGCCTTCATCCATCCCAGAATCGGCTTGATGTCCGGATC